ATAATCTCACTTTATTCCGATCATTAAATGGTCATTAATTGGTTTGTTTTTTTTAGTTTTCTTATTGCTGGAAAAGAGTGAGGCCCCATGTTGAACACCTCAGATGATCTGGGGAAGGAGAATATATTTGTGTTTTGTTGTTTGGTAACATATTAACTCAGGGCCCAGCAACACTCACACTATATATTCACACCTTTAATTGAAGGCTTTTGAGACATAATTAACACATGAGTTTGCATTTGCGATATCAGATATTAAACTATTTATTTTAAATCATGTTGTATATTACTAGTGCTGTTATTTATAATAATTTTAGGAAAAAATAGAAATGAAGCAAAAATGTAATATTACAAGAAAATAAAAAAAAACTAAAATCTCAAAACTGTAGGTTGTGATTATCACATTTTTTGTTTCATTCAGTTCATTAGTGAAGTCAGCTACATGTTACAGTACCATACTATACTAAGTTGCAGTAAAACTAAGGTCCCCGAACCCAACAACTGTACGAACCTGATTAAAACCTGTTTGCAAAATTACAAAATGAAATCAAATCTGGTGACTTTTTCTGGTGTTATTGGAGACTTATTTATGACAACTTTTTGACGTGAAAGTGTGTATCACTCTTCTCAACAAGCAGCGGGTGCTGCCGTGGGCACCTCGCCAGTGCCAAAGCGCTCACAGGCGGAGGATAGTCCTCCCCCAGCTGCTATCAGGGCAGGAAATGTTCCCACTTATGCGTCCAAACTGGAAATGAATCGTGCATGAGTGAAACCTCTGCTCCCGCAATGACTGTAACGCAATCAGTTCTTCTTTTACTGTTATGTTGTTTTGTGGATCTCAAGGTTTAAAACTACTTAAACACACACACACACACACACAGTAACTCCACCAGAGTGCCTATTTCGGGTCACTTTTGCCGGTCCAAGCCCAGATAAAGGAGCAGGGTTGGAATTGTGACATTAAAAAAACAATAATCGCTAAAAGAAATTTAATTTGTAGTTCTAAATCAATTCTAAATGCATTTAGGACGTTTTTTTACTCACTTTATGTCTCTTCTTTTTTTCTCTCCTACAACGTGGGTTACAATACATTAGCATGACCAATTATGCAAATTAGGCTATTTAGCAACTTCTAGAGACTTTTAGGATAGCCAATAGCGATTTTCCTTACTGAGGAGTTGGCAACACTGGCCAGGGGCTGCGACACATTTATACAGCTGTATTTCGCATATGACTATGAAAGGCGTAAGAGGAAGTAGTTCCTTCCAATTTAGACGATCCGAATGATATAGTTTCTTTCCACTGTGTTCCTGTTAATAAAAAACTACAAATTTTCCCCAAAGTACTAAAATATCAATATTTTAATATGAGAATCTATTCTAGAACAAAAATTACTGGTATCGGAAGAATTGATATTTCAATATCGATCCGCACACCACTAATAACAACACTACTCAGTGGCTAGTAGACCTAAGAGCAGACTAGAGCAAACTCTCTGAACAGTATCCAATAACCATCGCAGTGGCAGACATCCAAGACAGAGTCTCCAATATTGTATGAAGAGTTGGACAGAACCAGGCCCTGACATGATTCGCACTTACAAGCTAAAGAGGCACCAGTGTCTGGTGGCACAAATGAACCTGCTGGTAATGGAGAAGACGCATCCAGAGTGGCTAACCGAATGCCGGACAGTCCTGGTCCCCAAGGATCGCCAGAAGGCATTGGCCCCATCCAACCACCAGCCATCTACTGGCCAATAACCTGCCTTAGTATGGAAGCTCTTGTCAAGCAACATAGTGGCTATGAATAACAGGCACATGGCTCAATACATGAAACAGGCACAGAAAGGAATTGACAGAAACATCAGAGGGGCAGAACACCTACTACTAGTAGATAGAGCAGATCAAACTGACAAACTGTAGTCTGGATTAACTACAAGAAAACCTATGACTCAGTACCTCAAACATGGATCAAGAAATCCCTGGAACTATACAAGAGCACACCTTCACATACAGACTACAGCACCACATGAGAAAAGAAACTTCCTTCATAGCTTTGTGTGAGTCACACACCTGTCTGTCTGGTTTCGCTGAGACGAATGTAGGTTGATACATTTGTTGAATGTGTAAAAAACTATGTTGATTGTCCTTGTTAAGGCAGACAGTGCCTCATGGTCCTTGTTCAGTATCTCAAACTGGCTGACAGGTGTTTACTGTGTGGCCAGTCTGTTTGTCTATTCACAAAGTGCTTTGTGCACCTCTGTTACAGAATATCAAAATCAAAAACACGCCTGCAGTCATACTAATGGTTGGTGTCAGTAAGATTCATTTAGAAACTCTTGCCAGTGGTGCTAAAATAAATAAAGATCTGAGAGGCTAACTTTATAGTGATTTTATCTGAGCTCAATCTGTGCTCTCACCTTAGCTAATACTGTAACACGATCTAATCTGTTATTTACAAATTGGCTGATAACATATGTTTAGAAAGTACACCATTCTTTTAGACAGCTCATGAAATGAGGCATCCAAAAACAAACAGAAAACCAAACAGGGCTGTCAGGAGCTAAATTCATAATATGCATGCATTTAGCTCCTGGATCCAGAAATATATTTGCTTCATTTTTTAAAATTTGTGATATTTTCTTCAGATGTCATGCAGTTTTGTTTTGTTTTTTAATCATTATTTGTCATTCAATTTGTTTGATGAAAATTTTCATTCTAGAAGCTAACCTCATGACATTAAGGAGTGAATGAGATATCAAATAAGTGATACACAACCACGAGCACTTATAGCAATGATATCGGAGTGTAATTGTATGGTATCAAAGAGAGGGAAAGTAGTCACAACAAAGGGCATTGTGCTATTGGACGGCAAATCCAATCACAAAGGCAAATCATGAAGAGGCTGCTAGGAAAGCTGCAACCACCAAATACCTGCAGAGGGTCCGGCAAGTCCTGAGGAGTCAGCTGAATGGAAAGAACACAATTAACACCCACGTCCTGCCAGTTATCAGATACCCTGCTTAGATAATAAGATGACCAAAGAAGGAGGTAGAAGCCACTATCATCAAAATAAGAAAGCTTTTTACCGTGCATGGAAGTTTTTACCCCAAATCCAGTACCCTGAGATTGTATGCTAAGGAAGGTGACTGAGAACTAGTGAGTGTCAGAACCACTATCCAGGATGAAACAACGTGGTGGAGGGTGAAGGCAACAGTGGGGCAACAGTGGCCCCTGGTAGTCAGAGCACTTGGGACAGTGACCCCTGGCTGGGCGAGTTGCTCAAAAAGATCGCAGGAACAACATCCAAGATCTCTGTCCCAAAGAGCGCAGTCCTAGGAACAGCAAGGATCCTGTGCAGGACCCTCAAGCTCCCAAGCCTTTGGTAGAAGATCCAGGCTTAAAGGATAAAGACCACCTGCATGGCGAGTGGCGAGAACTTTTTAAAATATATATAGAGAGAGATTTACAAACCTTTGTCACTCACTAGTGAGTAATTTTCCTCAACAAATAAATGAAAAAGTAAATTTCCTTATTTGTTAATGAATTTTACTTTGATCTAATTTTAGACTTTTTTTTTTTAACTTTTGGGGTTTGAGCCATCATAGGTGACAATTGTAATCCTAACTCTACCCTAATTCTATATTTTGAACGGCACAATCGACTCTTTAAAAGTGTGATTGTTTTTGATATGTAACTGTTAAATTTATTATTTTCTTTGTTACCTGATTACCAATAATTTAATAAAAAGATTTTTTTTTAAACAGGAGACTTAGTGAAAGATAGGGGAGACTCTGGGTTTTCTGTTCGACAAAGACGGTTACCTAGATCTCTGAGACAGTCACCTGAGTAGTGAAGCTGCATGCTGGCAAGTTATCTTCAACAAACTCTGAGTTTCTCTCTGACTCCTCCTATCCTGCTACAGCTGATCCAGCTGACTGACTTGGTTTCATTTCCTCATTCATACAGCCTTTGATAAAGTATTACTCTGCAGAAATTCCCATCTTTGCAAACATAATAATCTGGTTAGATGTTAGTTTCTTGTTATATTTAACATGACAACTTTTATTATTGGTCACTGGATAGCACTGATTTATTATCAACTCAACCCCACCCATCCCATATATGTCTTAACTTTAGCAATTACAGTTTAAAATTTACATTTACACCTAAATTCAACACTGATTAGTGATCAGTTATTTAGATATTTCTTTAAGCAACACTGAATTGTGCCCTAACCCTAACCCTAGTTAATGGTTGGTCTGTTTGGATTCAGCACTTCCTGTACCAAAATAGTACGTAAGAAAGGTGACAAATCAAACTTAAAACCTTTGAGTCCTTAAAGTGAAGGAATTATCCACCAATTATCTATCCTTCTATCTTATCCACCAATTTCTGATCAATTGGTGGATAAGGTAGTAGGGTAAGTTCACTTCCCTAGCAAAGAAGAGTCATTACAAAACCAGCATGATGCTCTGGATCTTCCTATATCCAGTGATAAACAGTTTCTATGCAGATGGCACTGTTTCTATTTACAAAGCTTGAATCTATTGGTGAGTTCTGTGATGAAAATGAAAAATAATGTGAATCCTGTGTTATGGCCTTGATATTTAGAAAATGTACCAAAACACCACAATTACCAGAAAATTGCATGAGAAAATGGCTTTTGAATAAATTATGATTATATCCTTCCAGTACGTTGTTTACACGTTACATTGTTTTTCAGTCATATATTTTTTGACACCTTTTCTGACAAGAGACTCCTGATTGAGTCCTTCGGGTATTCTGGATGCTCCCAGTTTTGTTTGTTATCCTTTGAACTTGTGTAATTGACCAAATCTCAATGCTGTTTCCCTCTTCGACAACCTCTTTTAACTCTGTTTGGACTCTCACTCTTCTTAGCAATCAGTAGTTGACCTGCACTGAAGGACAATCTACCTCAAGTCAAGTCTCAGGTTAGTGCAGCAGAAAAAATCATATTGTTGGTTTAAGCTGCTTAATTATGGAACAAAAGGTTAGTATGAACATGACCAACATTGTAAATGATCTACATCCCTGTTATGTAATACAAGACTCCAAATACATGCTGACAAACAGCCCTTCCATTATATGTGTATTCTTGTATGCATTCCTTGCATTATTGTCTGTTATAACAATATGTGGAAATCTCCTTGTAATAATTTCTGTGATTTACTTCAAACAGCTCCATACTCCTACTAATTATCTCATCCTCTCTCTTGCTGTGGCTGACCTGCTCGTTGGGATTATAGCATTTCCTCTCAGCATGGCATTCTCTCTCAGCTCATGTCTTTATCATGAGGGTTTGTTTTGCAAAGTGCGAGGGACCTTTGATATTTCACTGAGCACATGTTCCATCCTGAACCTCTGCTGTATTTCTATTGACAGATACCATGCTGTTTGCCAGCCTCTGACATATCAAACTAAAATCAGCCCTCGTGTTGTTGTGTTCATGATCCTGATGAGCTGGGGGGTTTCTGGGATAATTGGAATTAGTGTCACCATTGCTGGATTTAATAATGAAAAATGTGAGGAATCATGTTTGATTGATGTTCTAATAGAAAGCACTGTTGGACCCATGTTATCATTTTACCTGCCAGTGACCATGATGCTTTTTATCTACCTAAAGATTTTCTTTGTTGCTTTGAGGCAAGCAAGACGCATCCAGAACACAACAAAGTGTGGACAAACTGCCAGTATCATGGAGAGAAAGGCGACCAAAACTCTGGCTATTGTTCTGGGAGTTTTTATATTTTGCTGGAGTCCTTTTTTTCTTTCCATCACATTCCCACCATTTACCAGTGATTCTGTACCAGTTCCTGTAATTGAAACTCTTAACTGGCTTACATTGGCAAATTCAATGCTAAATCCATTTATTTATGCTTTCTTTTATAGCTGGTTCAGGTCAGCCATCAGAATGATTATTTGTGGGAAAATATTCCAAGGGGATTTTGCCAACACAAATATGACTTGATAAAATATACACATATTAATTAAAATTTCACAAATCTTACAGTAAAAACAAACATAAAACAGCCACTGAACCCTACCTGAAGCATCACACACATAATGTCTCAATAGCGACTGAAAGAAATAATCTGAGTAGCAAATACGTTTTGTACACATGTACAAACACATTGTTTTATTGTTCAAATAGTTGTGCAAATATTGTCATCGCTTATCGTTATGGAGGGCCAGGAGTGACAAAATGAATGAATGAATAAATACTTTATTAATTCATTTAAATTTAAATTAATTATATTAAATAAATATTTCAATAATTATTGAAATAGCGCTCAAGCTGTTATACCGCCAGCAAAGTGCAGGTCCCGGTACACAACTGTCATAACCCCCGCTGACTGTCACCTCTCACAGGTTGAACACCGACTTCATTTACTGAGAATATATCTATCAGGTCTTTATTTCCTGATGTTCGTATGTGTCATACTTTGTTTCAGTTGCCAATTCTGAATTTAAACTAACATTGAGAATATGTTTAAGGGGGAGGAAATAAATAATCAATAATCAGTGTGCCCTGTGTATTCACGCATAATCTTTATAAAAACAGATAACATTGTTGTTTCCATCATGTAGTAACTGTTAGGTTTAACTATACAAAGCTTGTTAGAAACACATAGAGACTTCACCATGTTCGACTAATATTTTCATTGTGAATATTAAGCATAAGGGTAACGTACAGTCGAGCTGCTGTCTCAGAGCCCTGCATACTACAGAGTGAGGTCAGCATATCCAGAATATCTTTCCGTTATCTGGACTCACTGACCCTAACACTGGGAACTGGATAAACAGTCACACAAAGCTGGTTCTCAGCTTTCTAAGTTAACCCAGTGTTTCCCAGCATGGTTAAATAAAAGTGTTGGCAGCATCAAACTAATCTAACATCATCTACGAGTCTGATTAATTGGTCATATAAATACTCTTTTACAGAAAATCATCC